GCTTCCTTGCGAAGAAGCTTGAAGAAAGGGAGGGCGTGTTGAGCAGATTTTGCAACAAAACGGGATAACGAGGTGAGCATGCCATTCAAGACTTGTATGTATTTTTTCGATGTAGGTGTGGGGAGGTCGGAGAAAGCCCGACACTTGTTAGGGTTGGCTTCGATTCCTCGTTCTGTTAAGTAGAAGCCTAGGAACTTGCCCGCCTTGACCCTGAACGTGCACTTCTCGGGGTTTAATCTCATTTTGCATTGCCTCGCTTGGGCAAAGACTTCCCTGAGATGAGCGGCATGGTCGGTGTCTGCTCGGGACTTGACGATCATGTCGTCCATGTATACCTCGAGCATATCCCCAATTTGGTTCCAGAAGACTTTGTTCGTCATTCGCTGATACGTTGCTCCTGCATTTTTCAGACCGAAGGGCATTACGTTGTAGTAATAGTTGCCCGAGCTGGTCATGAAAACGGTGCAGTGATTGTCGCCTATTACTATTGGGATTTTGTTATAGCCCGAATAGGCATCCATAAACGATAGTATTTTATAATCGGCTGAGTTGTCGACCAACATATCAATAAAGTAAAGGAAATGCATTTTTCAGGCATGTCCGGTTAAGATCGGTGTAGTCAACACACATTCTCCATTTTCCATTATTTTTCTTGACAAGTACAACATTTGACAACCAGGTTGAATACTGGGCTTCAGAAATAAAATTTGCCTCTAAGAGGTCTTTTACAGCTTTTTCAGCAGCCTCTATTTTCTCCGGAGACTGCCTACGTCTGCGTTGCACTATTGCCCTAGCAGCTGGATCGATGGCGAGTTGGTGACAGGCGACCTCAGGGTCGAGCCCGGGAATCTCCGCAGTGCTCCACGCGAACATATGTGCATTCTCGTGCAAGCAAGCCTTGATTTACTTCCTCGCTAAGTCGGGGAGTCTGGTGCCAATCTTCACTCCTTTGCTTGGGTCTTCACCGATGGGAACGAGTTCGAAGTCCCCATCCGGAATTGGTCGAAGGGGGACTTTCTTGCCGCTAGGAGGCTCATCCTGGTCGAAGCGAGTGTCCAGGGATATCGAGTCGACCTTTGGAGGGGCTCTCTGCTCTTCCGCTTTGACGGGCTCTGACCTCTGAGGTTCTGGTCGTGTAGTTGCAGCTCTCTTGGAGGGCCTTGTACTGGTGTCGACCGTGTCGCGTCCCTTGGATGCCGCGTTAAAATACCTTTGGGCAGCTGCTAGGTCACCTTGGATAGTGGCGACCCGTGCCCTCTTGGTGTAAAACTTCATTTTTAAATGGAGGATGGAGGGCACTGCGGTCAGCTCCGCCAGTGTCGGCCTTCCCATAATGCAGTTGTAGAGGGAGGGGAAATCAATGACGAGGAAGTGCACCTTGACTTGCCTCGTAGCCGCATCCTCGCTAAATGTAACCATGAGCTCGACGTATCCCCAAGGCTTGGAAGTTGAGCCGTTAAAGCCCTGCAGGTCCGACCCCACGTAAGGTGAGAGGTGAGAGTCGTCGAGCTGTAGGGTTCAGAACAATTGGATGTACATCACGTCGACCGAACTTCCTTCATCGACGAGGACGCGATGTATGTCGAAGTTGGCCATTATCGCTCTTATCAGCAGAGGAATGACTGAATTGGGGGCCCCTCCGGGGAGCTCCTCGAGGTAGAAGGTGATTGGCTCTGACCTGCCTCTCACCTTTTCAAAGGTCACCGTTTGAGGGGGGGCCGTGTCGACCAATTCGTACAGCTTCCTCTTAGCTGAATTTATGGTCAGATCATTGAACCCTCCACCATTGATGACCATGGAGGAGGGGAAGTGTTCCCACCTGCTGTGCATCGACAAAGGTTCTTGCAAGTGATCGGGGACGTAGAAGTCCTCGGGTCTTGTGACGGAGAACACGGTTTGGATGGAAACCGACTCGTCAGATGGTCAGGCATCCTCTTCTACTTCCCTCGTCTCACGGGCGTCCCGACGAGGAGCGTCGTTCCGTTGGTACTGTGCGATTCTCCCCCTTTTATGAGGGTCTCGATGGCGTCCTTGAGGTGGACGCAGTCTTTGGTCAGGTGCTCGTGGCTCCGACGATACTGACAGTATTTGCTCCGGTCCACTCCGAGTTTGGCAGGAGCTGGACGGGGACGTTTGACACTGCCATCCTTGAAATATGTACTTGCACACTCCGCTAAGATGCGCTCGCGGGAAGCCGTGAGCGGAGTGTATTCTGTGAACCGTCCCGAGGGCCCCCTCTGCTCTCGGACGTCCTGGGGTTTATCGTCCCTTCTCTTTTCCCCGGTTCGTCGAGGAGGGGCGGTATCTTGTCGCAGATTGCTGTTGGATCCACGGTTTCTTGGGTCTCGGGCTCTGTTGGCCGCTTCCCTTTCCTCGTAGTCCATGTAGGCTCTGGCCTTCTCGAGGAGGGCATCGAACGTTCAGGGTGGTTCGATGCCCACAGCTTTTCTGAATTCGATGTCGGGGAGGAGCCCCCTCTCCAGCAGGTATCTCTTCATATGGTCCGTGCAGGGGACCTGGATGGCTTCCCGGTTGAAGCGATTAATGAATTCCCTCAAGGTCTCATCGCGCTTCTGGACGATGGCCTCGAGCGCTGCTTCGGTCTTCGGGTGTCATCGCGAAGCAGTGAACGAGCTGAAGAACTGGTTCTTTAAGTTTCGCCACGAGGTAATTGACCCTGGGTCGTGGGGAACAACTGGCATTTGATTGGTCCCCCGACGTTGTGGTAGTGCAGCATGGCTTCGAACCCATCTATGTGGTCGACCGGGTCGGCGAAGCTGTCATATTCTTTTAAGTGGGGAGGCTTCTCCATGTCCGGGGGAATGGGCGCCTCCATGATGGCTTGTGACAAGGGACCGCGGGGGTCGTCCTCGTCACTCTGTTCCGGGGAGCGGGACGGGGATCCGATGTATTGTCGTTCACGGTGGCCCTGGTCGTGCAGAACGTACTTCGAGCATTGTGAATGTTGATGGTTTCCTCCGTGTCTGTACCTGGGAGGTCTTCGTTCTTGCCGCGAAGGACTGTGGTCGCGCCTTCCTGCGTCGATGAGTGGTTCCCTCTCCAAAGGGGGTCGTCGCCCTATTGGTCGAGGCGACGGGCTTCGAGAGATGTCCTGATTCTGTCTCCGCGGGGGAGATCAGAGACGTTCATCCGTTTGTCGAGGGGGAGGAGATTGAGGTCTCCTGTGTCTTCTAGGGGGCCTTCGGTCGTCTTCGAGTGCTCTCAGTCTTTCCCCCTGGGCAAAGATGAGATAGTTGGTCTGGTTAATCGCCGCGAACAGTGGCCTGGTTGTGGCGTCTGCTCCGGCGGGGACAGGGACTTCATGGAATTGGATAGCGGGGTAGTTCAGAGGAACTGGGTGATCTTCTTCAAGCCGAGGAGGGATTGATGAAGATGAAGCCGTGGCTCCGTCCCGGTAGTTGGAAGGCCCGAGGATGTTGCCGCCAGAGACCGTGTTATGGCCGGTGATGTCGGCATTGTCGGGATCGACATTATTGTCGGCGATGTTGTTGTTAGCTTCTATGACGCGGACGTTCTGGTTGTCCTAAGTCTGGTCAGCCATGACAGTCGAGGATTGTTAGCTTTTGTCTTTTTAAATGGAGAGAAGACGGGGAAGCTTAGTTTCCCACAGATGGCGCCACTGATCGTACCTGATCAGAGTTGGACCGTCACAGTTGGCTTCAGGCTGGATTTGAAGGAGATGGGGGGTACCTGCAAGACACTCCGATGGAAAAGTGAGAGACAAAATGAACAAGCAAGTAAGTATATAGGTGTGGATGAATGAATACCTAATCATCTCATGAGAGAGAGTATTTATAGCCCCCAACACTGGACCAAGGTCCCCACCATTGGGCCACGCAGAGGCCTAATAACAGAAACTGTCAGGATTTACGTGAGTATGAAGTCCAGCAAATGGATTTCCCCTGGTCAACTGCTCCGCGATAATAGAGTTGGACCCGAAATTCCCGATGGACAGTTTGATGTGTCCGTTGAGAAGTGGTGGGCCACGCCCCCCAACGATTAAATGGGGGAGGTGCTCCACAATCTCTAACTTGGACCTCCTTTTCGTAGGACAAATGTAAACCCATTCTATTTCGTATTATTTATAATATTAATATTGTTGTTTAGCTTCATCTTTTACGTGTATTATTATTTCAATTTCAATTTATTATTATTAATAATTTTTTTCAACTTTCTATTTTTATTATAGTCTACAAACAAATGCATATACAATACAAATATACAAACAAATGCATATACGAGTTTGTTCCTAGTGAGATAATACTTCATCCACATTGTAAAATTTTAAATTATTCTATATTAAAGCTTGTTTTATAGTATCATATTTAATTAATCTAAATTACATTTTTTAGGCATAAATTAAATATCCTCGATGTATAAAAGTAAAAATTAATCTTTCAAATGAGAGAAGACCACAATACACATATCGAGGATCTTAAAGAATTTTTTATCATTTCAACCCATTGTTGACTTTGTGTGTCTCTTTCTCACTCATCTAAATAACTATTTATATTACTTTATACATGTCATTTATAACCTAAAGTTATCAAAGGTACCTAAAAATAAAGGCACCTAATCCACTTTGAGTGGATTACATCTCCTTTGAGTTAAGTAAAAAATTTCTCTTAATCATTTTATGCAAAACTTAGTTAGACAAAAAAGTAAAGAATAACTAATGGCGGGCATATTAAGCTTGTTTTTACAAAGTCAAAACTCATATTATTCTACAATCTACATAGACACCGCTTGAATTTTGTTCTTCTCTTGGCAAATTCCATAATACGACACCGTGTTTTCCACCACCGCTTCCCACAAATCCCAAATTCAACCGAACCCTAATCCATTCACACCCTTTGTTGTCACACACCGCCACCAAGCAAAGTCAAATTCCAACACCCGTACTTCAATTTCATCTAACACGTTTCAATTAATACCCAAAGTTTCACGTTTTCTCTCTATATATGCTCAACACAAAGATAATGGGTTCTATATTGAGTTCTCAGAATACTCAAATGAGTAAAGAAGTGATGGAAACGTCTTTGAGTAAAGCGAAAGAGCTCGCTGCTTCTTCCCCCGTCTTTCTCTTCAGGTTTTTGTAACATGTTTTCGTTCTAAAAATTATTATTTTTAACTTAGTTCGCTTTTCATTCAATGAAATTAGGTTGTAAAAAAGCACTACTAGATGTGTCTCAAAATAGAGAGAGTATGCATGTTTATTAATTATAGTTTGTTTTGGAGATTGATTGTGCACCTAAGTTTAGGTATGTGTCATTTCATTTGGTTGTTAGGCTATGGTATGCAATTTGATCACATGCTTGTTGACACAAATTGGTGTCTTTTACTCAGGCTGTTCTTTTTTTTGCACATAGCGTACTTAAATAGAGTCTCATAAAATATCGGCTTAAATATGAGCTCTGATTATGGGAGAATCGTGAGTAACCTACGAGCAAGGCCTCCAAAAAAATTTAAGATGGTTATGGTTTCACATCTAGGCCCTCCTTGTTGATTTTCGCTCATTATGTAACTTATGTTATGGCAGTAAGACTTATTGTGGTTACTGCAAACGGGTGAAGGATCTGCTCAAACAGCTAGGAGCAACCTACAAGGTCCTTGAATTGGATATAGAAAGTGAGTTTGCTATCTCAATCATGTCATTTCTTCCAAACTTTAATACTTAAAAGTGAATTGAATAATTTTTAAGTGTAAAAATTATTTCAAAAACTACATTTTTTTAAAGGTTCAACTATAAAGTTTTACGGACAAAATCAATTTTATTTTAGAAGAATTCAACATGTTAAAATCAATATTATGCCTCTAGAAATACTTTTGACTTTTCCGAGTCTCTAGAATTAATTGTAATTGAAGTTACATATTGTACATGTTTGGTTCCACTTTTGGAAAAGTTAAAAGTGATTTTAGAGTATAATTGATTTTGAAATTTAGATTTAGAGATTGGCTGTGGATAAAATTTAGTTTTCTAGAAACTAGAATTGATTTATGTTTAGATATATTTATGTAAAAATCATTCAAAATCAATTTTGACAGAAACTACAAATTTTATAGCTTCAAATTTAATCAATTTTGGAGACAACCAATTCTACTCTTGCCTAATCAAACACTCAAAATCACCTAAAATTAATTATACTCTTTTAAAATTGTTTTTGACCTTTTCAAAAGTCGAACTAAGATGCACTCAAAAGTTATAAATTATAATTTATTAAAATCAATTTTTTTTGAGAGAATCAATTTATACACAATGAGAATCAATTATATAGGTGCTCTAAACTTGAAATCAAACATACACGTAGTTTACAGTTGTTGAATCGGTTTTAAGCAGGGAGATTTATCCCTTATCCAGAAGTTGAGATGTTGTGAATATCATGTTAAAAAAGTTGTTGATAGATATAATCAGTGTGTTGTAACATTGAACATCGGTATAACAGTTCATTCTACGTCAGATTACACAGTTCCGTTTCAGAAATATGTATACAACACACTAAAAAGGAGTTATAAAGCATGAGAAATAACATATTTTATCCGATTATTTATGTCATAAAATTAATGTAAATACCCATTTGAAGGTGACGGTGGTGAGATTCAAGCAGCTTTAGCTGAGTGGACCGGACAAAGAACAGTACCTAACGTCTTTATTGGAGGCAAGCACATTGGTGGTTGTGATTGTAAGGCCATACTCTTCTCTTGCTTCTTTTCTATAATTAGCAAAGACAACAAACTAAAGTGTTTTTTCTTGATTTGTGTTTTTGTTTGTTTCTATAATGAGCAAAGACAAAAAAGAAACTAAAGTTTGATTTGTGTTTTTATTTGTTGCAGCTGTTTTGGAGAAACACCGTGCAGGTCAATTGGTTCCCCTTCTCACTGATGCCGGAGCGATTGCTAATAACTCTGCTCAGCTCTAAAAAGCCACGAAATATTTACTGTTTTGTTAAAACTTGTGGCAATACTTTGTATGAATAAACGCAAAACAAACCTCTGTAATAATCCACTTTAATTATGTTAGTGGAGATATAATTAGTTACTACTAATAATTCTATTACAAGTGAAAGAGGATCATCTAAATAAAATATTCTTGGTTTATGTTTTAATAAAACTCTGGTTACTTCAGATTATAGTGTAATTTTTGCAGAAGTACTAATGTTATTTATAAATAGAATTGGTAATACGTATACCAAAAATAATTAAGATTAATGTTATTTTTGTTGGGTATATTTTTGGTTCTATTGGCTTGGAAAGTTTGAGAAATTTCAGCATGGTAAAAAGATAAAAATATGATATTGCAAATATATTTTAAGAGTATTTGGATGGGATTGATAAATATATTTTTTAATTTAATCAGAATTTTAAATTTTTTTTTAGTAATAACTATCTTTTGAAAAAAAAATATAAATAATTATATTTCAGAGAAAATACGCAAATGATCATGTTTTAAAATACATTTAAATAGATGAGCTAATTCGGATGACACATGCTCATATTTTTATATGGAGGCGCCAAGCGAGATGGTGTATATTCATATTTTTTATATGGAGACGCCAAATGAGATGACGCATAGGTGTTATGTGTTTGCTCTAAGTCATTTCAGATGGTGTCTAAGTATTTTTGTGGGTCAATTTTTTACATGTAGGAGTCATCTCATATGACGCTTCTTCTCTATATTATAGAGTATATGTCATCTCACATGACATAAAATAAGTATGCGGCAAATGAAATGACACCTAAGATCAAAAAGTAAGTGTATGCATCATTTGAGTTGACGCCTCAATTTAAGTGTATTCTAAAATATGATCATTTGTGTAATTTTTTCTGAAATATGGTTATTTGTGAATTTTTAATTTTTTTTTTAAAACATGAATATTACTAAAAAAAGAATTTCAGAATTTTGATGGGATAATAGTGTTGGTTTTGATTTGATATTGGATTCGGTTCCAAATTTTCGATCCAACCCAATTCATGGATGATAAACACAAGTCCAATTTCGACCATTTTTATTACGGTTTTAGTGGTTTAAAGTTGTAAGGATATTGTAGTTTTTCTCCGTTTTAACGGTTTATGGTTATTCAGATATTGTAGTTTTTCACAGTTTTAACAATTTATAGTTATTCGAATATTGCAATTTTTCAGATTGGTTAATTCGATTATAAAATATTTTAAAAAATATATTTAAACATTAAAAAACCAAAGAAAACACATAAACTACACAGAAATTACAAAATAAATTTGAAAATACTTTTAAATTTTAAGATACAAAAAGTATGAACAATTAAAAGATGAACTATATTCTTTAAAATAAATAATTTATTGAATAAAAAAGAAACATGAAAAGAAGAAGAAAAAAAACTCTTCAAAACAAAGCTCAATGCCTTTATCATGTATTTTATTATTAGGAAAAAAATATTATAAAATCTAGATTAGATATATACTATTTAAAGTCAGATATGATGAATATGATTGAAGATATCTGTAGTGGATTGATTCAAAACCCTTGAAGATGAAGATCGAAGCCATTGAAGATGCCTGTCAGCCATATACTCATTGGTGAATTGAATGTCACAATTGATTTGTTTTCATTTTCATGCACTGAGAAATTAGGATGTCAGGGGAATAAGGATTAAATGTCGAGTGCAGAAAAAAGGTTAATAGATGAGAGAAATAAAATGTTATAAGAGGTACGAGTGAGAGGAAGAAGAAACAGTTGGGGTTAACGAATGGACGATGACAGCGATTCGTTAGGAAGGTGAAAACCAAGAAACCCTAGCAGAGAGAGATATGTGTTACCCTGATTGATAAGTGTGTTACTTTGTTTTGTGTTGATTTTTTTGGTTTGGGTCGTGAACTAAATGATCATTCAGTCTAATCCCATGATGAGCCACAAAACCCCTTACTAGGTCAGACGGTTTTGGACTCGTTAGGCCTAAACAAACCATCTGAATCTGACCGATGATACCCATGTAAATCTATAAATTGCCAAACCGGTAATCCGATAAATCGGCCCACCCAAACCGATGCTTAGCGGGCCTCATGGATAAGTCAGATTGGGTCATTTTTCAAAAGTTTGTCCAGCCCTAACCGTGATATATACAGTTTGGCTTTTTTTGTGATATACATGGTTTGACTTTTTCTAGGTGATGTTAAAATATTTTTGTTATTATGTTTTTTGCTTGAAGTTAGAATTTATAGTTTTTTAGTTTAGACAAAGGAATATGTACTGACAGTATACAATATTTTTATATTGTCAATTAATGAGAGACATGTATTTAATTAAAAAATATTTTTATTTTTAAGATACTGATATGATATGACAAGTATAATAATTTTAATTGGTTGTATGTGTAATATTGGTTTACACTGTCAGTGCATTATCTTTAAAAAAAATTTAATTTAAACATAATTTTTATAATAAAATTTATTGTTCAACTTACTTTTACATAAATATATTTAAATATAAATTAATTTTGTTAAACTCAATTATGTACAAATTAATTCTCTATCAAATTCAATTCTATAAAAATTAATTATGTCTACCGCCAATTAGTGGCGCTCACAATTTGGTTTGGATTGATTTTGAGGTAAAACTCATCCAACCCAAAAATAAATTTCTTTGCGATTCAGTTTTAGATGATTGATTAAAAAAATTCGATCTGGTCCTGTTAGGTTTTGTTGTGTTGGCTGTTGTTGTATCCCAAAATTTTCCCTCTCATTTCTCAAGTAGTCTCTCACAAGATCTCCTTTGATTCAAGACTGCACAAGGGTTGATCAGCTCAGGACACCTCCTCAAGCACTAATAACTGAAAATTAGGGTTTGTGTTTGCACAAGGACAATTGGACTTTTAATGCCCCATATGACTTTCAGGGATCATTTTGGACTCTCAAGATTTCTCATGTCAAATTTCAAGTCTTGGATCACATTTTTGCTCAGTCAATTGATCAGCTGACCTAAAATCAGCTGTATTGGGGAAAAAGTCAACTGTGGTCAATTTACAGTTAAACTTCATAATTGTTGGTCCATATCAATATTATGAACTCATATATGTCATTTGATCAAGTTTGGACCATAATTCCTCAAGAAAATTGATCAGATCATCAAAAGGGTAAAATGGTCAAAATTAGAGTTTTGGCTGAGAAGATGCAATTTATGATTTTCGACCTAGAAAATGATTGATTGGTTTGAGACATGATCTCAAGGATTCAAATGCTTCATTTTGACCTATTGGAATGGCTCAAAAAATCTCTCAAAGATCAATTGATTGACAAATGAATTTTAGTCAACTGATGGAAAAGTCAATTGTTCACTGAAAAGTCAAACTTTGACTTTTTGATCAAAATCAAGTATCAAAGATCACAATTCATCAAAACATGTCAAAATATGAAACTTGTTCATCAAGAAATCAAAAAGTCAAGATTTCATTTTGAAAAGTCAAAATTTCTAAACTTAGAAATTTTTCTAAGTGTTGGAAATTCACATTTTTCTTATAACTTTGAGCTAAATTTCAACCAGAATGCAAGATGATTCAAAGGAAACTTCCAACATGAAAGTTGTAGATCTCAATGAGATCTAAAATATTGTAGAACATAACCTTTTCTAGAAATACATCTATTTCAAGTTATGATTTTAAGAAGACATGTTCATGAAACTTGGAAACTTAGTGAAATTTTGCCCTAGTTTAGGCAAGATTTTGACCTAACTTCATGGCAATTTTTCACATAGTTCCAAGATGAATGTTCAAAAATGTCCAACTTATAGGTTGTATAGGATGTTACAAGCTTTCCAAAATGTCCAAGAACTCATTGAGATCATACTTGAGCAAGGGGAATCGAAGGCAAGGAGTTAGGGTTTTCAAACTTGAATTACAAGCCATTTCTTGATGAACACATGAACCAAATGCATGTTAGACTGCATAATATTTGCTTTTCAGGCCTCAAACTCGTTTTTAACTCCATAATTAAATGTTTACACAACTGATAGAGCCATTGTCCAAGCATTTGAGCCATTATCCAAGTTGCATTTCCATTTATGGCACAAAGTTACCATTCCATTCTTGAAAAGTTGCTTTAATCACAAAGTCAACTTGTCTTGAGCTTCTAAATTGTTCTTTCTGCACACACAAACCCTATAAACCAAAAGCAATGTGTCTAAGGCCTATTTGAACTCAGAATGCTTGTACAACACTTTGAGATTTGTCTTCTCACTTTTCTTCAAAAGCAAGTTATAGAGCCAAAAGGGTAGAACTCAGAAGTCTTGAGTACATTTGATCTCAAACATTTTCCATACATATACACAAGTCTATTGCAAGCAAAGGCACGATTTGAAACATCCTGAAACTCTCCCAAACACCATTGCTGCACAGAACTGCCCAAACTTGACAGTTTTGAGCAAAAACTCACCATCTCCATTTTCACTCATGCGTTTTGAAAACTAATCATCCAAATACCTCCCATACATCATATAAAAGTGATCCAGACCCCTGTTTCCTGATTGTAACCCCTCCATCACCATCCACCATTTTCAAAACTGAAGCTTGCAACTTGACTTAAGTTGGGAGTTTCAGCCATCCTCAAAGCAAAGTAGGAGTTGGAATACACTCAAGGAGGTCCGGGCCAGCTAAACAGAGCATTAGGACATCTCAAAGGTTTCTCAAACTCCATACACGATTCTCACTTCAAGGTAAGTTTTTCTCAACTGTGATATCTTGATACAAGCATCTTTTGTACATACGTTCTGAAGTAGAAATGTAGGTATCATTTCTCTTAAGCTAACCATGTCCATGGTTTTCATTTATATTAACTGTGTATTGAGAATTTTGGATTTGAATTTTCTGAAAAATTAGGGTTCAATTTGGTACTAACATAAATTCATCCTTATCTTTGAGTGTTAGCTTAAGTTAGTTACATGGTTGGATTC